AGGCTGGCCTTGAACTCACAGAGACCCACCTGACTTTGCCTTCTAAGTGCTGGAATTAAAAGGTTGAGTTACTTCTCTGGGCTGTATCAGAAGATTTTTTTAAGAGCTAAATTTAACTTATATCTACCAGTTGTTCTAGCTGAAGCAGAAAAAGAAGCACAATGGTTTTTGAATTTATGTTGCCCTTTTACAAATAAAGTAAACATTAAATAAGATACTAAGAAGTGGATTTTGGTAACTAGCTGAAAGTGCCTCAAAGTTTAAACCTTATTTTAGTCCATTCCTTGTCATCCTGACTGTCCTATAGGAAATAAATTTGTTTATATACAAGGATGCCTCAAAATAGCTTCTGCATTAATTTCTCTAAAATACAACTTGTGAAAGCAGAGAAAGATAAATAATTAAGCATATGGTTTTTAAAAAAAGCACAAACACAAAATGACTTAGTGGAGCCCATTCTATATGGAGAGATACCTTGCTCAGCCTAGACACAGGAGTGTGGGGGGTGGAGAGGCGCCTTGGTCCTGACTCAACTAGATGAAGGGACAGACTTAGTAGACTTCCTCGGGGAGGCCTTACCCTCTCCATGGAACAGATGGGAGAGGGAGAGGGTGGGAGTGAAAAATTTTACTTGCTTATTAAGAAGTTAGCACCTGTATGTGTCCTTACTTTGTATGCTCCTTTGTAAAATGAAGGCAAAGTGAAGAACAGACATTTACAAAACCCACTGTCTTTGCAGCACTCCACTACCTTCTCTGACAGTCACACCAAGAGTAGCTGACAATGCTAATTAAAGATTCTTTTCAGTCAGGCTATCACTATGTAGCTCTGGCTGTCCTGGAACTCACTATGCAGACGACACTGTCCTTGAACTCATAAAGATCCTCCTACCTCTACCTCCTGAGAAGTAGCATTAAAAGTGTGAGCTACCACAGCCAGCTTAGTAAATTACATTTATACCTGTGTTTTCTTATGAGGTACTTGCAATGCCTCAGTAAGTAATCTTTTGAAGGTCTACACAACTTCAGTGACCAGAAGTCATCTAGTCTCATCTTTGGAGAGCAAGATTTTCCTGGATTTCCACCAAATAAATAATGAACCTATAAGAAACACAACAAACCAGAATGTAAAGAGCTCATACATACCCACAAAACTACAGAGCTCATAAGGAAATTTCTTTTATTAGGAGTATGTGATAGTTAACTCTCTTTGCCTTATTCATTTGATAATTTTTAAATTGATACATTCTTACCAAAGGTTTCCCATGATTTTTCTCTATTCCATTTTACCCTAAAGCACTTTCCTAAACTACATGTGGATTAAAATTGTACTATTAGAATTGGAATGATAATGGAAAATGAAACAAAAACCATGGTAGGAATAAGATAATCCAACACATATTTTAGAGAACTAAAAATAAAAGTATTATCTAGTTAATTGTTGATCAAAATAAAAAATGTTAGATATTCAAAAGAATTCTGACATAAATTTTAAATAGAATTGTTGAAGGTCAAGAGTTTAACTTTAACTTTAACATCTCTGATTTAACATAAATGCCAACTAGTAAAAGACATATATAACTTTCACAATGTTATTCCATTGTTCAATTAATACCAAATAAGAAATGTAAAAGGATTACAATCATGATTTCATCACTAGAGTAGAAATTATTGTATACTTACACGAAACATTAAAACACTTCCCTGAAAATTTGAAAACATTTATATTCACAGTACTACAAAATAAACAATATTTCTAACCTAGTAAATGAAAATTATTCCTAGCCCACTGAATGACAATTCTTCATTACCCTCTTAGGAGTAAGGGCTTGTATTCATTTCCATGTTATCTTTTATCTGAAAGTTTCAAGATATATAAGCACTGATTTTAATACCTACGGCTTAATCAGAAAAAATTTGCTCTGCCAGTAAATTTCAATACAATTTGAGTCCAGTTGCTAAATTTCACATCAAATTTAAGAGGAAAATAGTTACAGAAACTACTCTAAACACTTAAGTGATACAAAAATTATTTTCACAATGCCAGTAGACAGAGGTCACTTATACAAGAAATATATAGATGAAACAACTTCTTATACAATTGGAAAATCTAATGCCTGGGAAGTTATTATATACCTGTTCCTTTTCAAAATGCAAAAACTGCATTTTATACTTGAATATCCACAACATATACACAGTGACACATGGTATATGTCTGTTCCATGGAGTAGAAAAGAAGCCACTGACAGTTTTCAAAATAGAAAAGATGCTATGGTGCGCACCTGTAATCTCAACGTGAGGGAGGCTAAGGCAGAAGAATCTCCTGTTTGAGAACAGCCTGGGCTACTCAGTGAGACCCTGTTGCAGAGGAAAAAAAAAACCAAACAACATAAACGATGGAAAGTCCCAGGAATTATTACGGACCATACAAAAAGTTTATTCTCTTGAAGAATTCTGAGAAACACTGGGGCTAGCTAGTGGGATAGTCCTGTAATTCTAGGTACTTGGAAAATTGAGGCAGGAGGATTGCAAACTTTGGTTGGGCTACAAAGTGAGTTCTAGGACCGCCTGGGCAACTTACCCAGTGTCAAAATAAAAAGTAAAAAAAAAAAAAAAAGTGCTGGGGACAGATATATAACACAGTGGTGGGGTGCTTGCTTATTATGTGAGAGACACTAAACTCAATCTTGTGTGTGTGTGTGTGGGGGGGAAGTGATGGGGATAATATTGAATGCCTGCTACATATTCTATTAAATGTCTGCCTCTGTATTGAAACTTTTCATTCAAATCCACTTAAAAGCAATCAGAAATAAGATCTATTTGGGGGTACTTTCTGACTGTAGTCCATTGAAAATATACAGCTAAAGTGGTTAGCGTACCTTGTGTAATTCATCATAAACGAGCTGATGAGCAAACCTTGGACATGGCTCTTCCTCCTGAAGACTTTTGCTCAGATTATCTTTTGCAGCTTGATCATTCTTATAGACACAAGACCTGGAAGACACCACTTTTAAGACACTGTACTTCTGTCTATACAATTATAGCGGGTAAACTAGCTGCCAATGCCCAACTATCAACAGAAAAAAATGTACAGCTGTCCACATCAAAGTGGAAAGTCAGTGACTCTCATAAGGGGACATGTACTTGTTAGAACTAGTTCTGACATTTCAAAATAGCTCACTCCAGAACAACCTATCTTGTGCTTGGAATCAGGTACTGTATTCACGAAGGGTTAAAAGTGAAGTGTTGTTTTACTGTGTACTCACAGTGGAGGGCTCAAGCACACTCTCATCATTCTGAATGCAAACAAAACGTCTCACTCAAGAAACAACAGATCCCACAGCTGCCAAGCATATTGCCATAGAAAATGGAGCTGGTTCTTGGAAGTGTTTCTGTTGTCACTGAATACGAGAGCTGGATCTTCTGCAACTGTTTCCCAAGCAGAACACGCAGCGTCTGCTCTGCCAGATGCCCTGGGACAAGGCTTGGCTTGGAAATGCTAAGTCAAACCTACCCTTTGCCAGTACTGGGATACTGTTGGTAGAACGTTAGGTTCAACTTTACCTAGTTACTTGGTGGTAACCTAGAGCAAAATACAACTCTTTAAAGCCCCAGAACAGGAAGTATCAGAAAGCGAACAACAGAGTAAAATTCCACTCATTTAATATCACTTATACACAAGTACTGATCTTATCTAGGGCACCGATTTCTTTAAATTACTGATATTTTAGGCCAGGTGGGTTGGCTCACACCTATGATCCTGGGCAGAAGTGAGCAAATCATGAGTCTCAAAATATGTTTAGTATTCTTTCAATATTACAAATTAACACACACACCCCCACTCTGCTCATTTTTAAATAAACCAGCTTCATGTAAGTAACACTGGGATTGCAGCACAGACATGAGTCCTTACCAGCTATTCCTCACAATGTCATAAATCCAGAATGAATTTCTAACGTTCTCTTCCCTCTTCTCTTTGTCTTTGCTGAGTCCAGATAAGACATGTATTTCATTTAATTCTGGATCAATAGTTGCTCTCTGTGTGAATCCTGTCATTGGCACTAAAAACGGAAGAAATACTTAAGATGGCAGTACTTACAATAAACAGGAGATTAGTACTAACTCATTACACATCTTCATTTTGCTCTATATGTCCACTGTATTTACCTTTTAACACACCTCACAGCCTTTTGTATTAAACCACAGACTTTGTTTACAGCCTTTTTTTCCGCTTAGAATGTGAGTGACATAAAGGCAGAGGTTGCTTTGCTCATTACTTGGTTCTCAGTGTCTAAAGTAGGACATACACATAACACAAGCACACGCACAGAGAGAGCGACAGGGGGAGGGAGGGAGAGAGGGAGAGGGGAGGAGGGGAGGAGAAAGGAAAGGGGGATTGGGGAGAGAGGGGGAGGGATGCAGACAGAGCACACAGTGAGCATGTGCACAAGAGCGAGCACCAGAACGAGTACAAATGACCTTAAAAATGGAAAGAAAAATTACAGAATGAGAGCAAAGACCTGCAAGTCATATATCTAAAAAAACTTGTGTACAGGGTAAGTAATCCATAACTCATTCTTAATTTTAAAACAAGTAAAGCATTTCCAAGAATATACTCAAGTGGTCAATAGACATAGTAAATGGTACTCAGTATCATTAGTCCTTAAGAAGTACAAATCAAAACCATGATACAATACCATTTTATGTAGGCAAGGTGACATACACCCCTACAAGCCTAGTACTCAGGGGCTGGAGATCAAGACTAAGGTTGAGGGGAGGTAGAGGGCTGTGGCCACCAGGAGTGGCTTTTAGAGTACTTAATGTACTCACTACACACATTATTTCTCCTTGAAGAATCTTGCCCTCATTTGATTGATTACAAGGTCAGTTTTGTCATGGTCATATTTGTGGTTATATTATTTATCAGCTCCCCTAATGTCTATACTATCACTTTCCTTGTAAAGTCACATGTTTAAGGGCAATGAGACAATTCTACGAATGTTTTCTAAAGGCCATAGAACATATAACATATGCTTCTGACTATGTTCATTTGGGCAAATTACTGGTTCTAGCTAACAGGCCACTGTGCTTACTTTGAATTTGTGGTTCATAGACTTGGCTTTTGATCACACACGTTGAGTTTATTGATTTCTTTTGAAATAGCTATAGTCCTCTAGTGTCTATTCATGTTGGTCTGTAAGGAGGTAATGTTTTTCAGAGATTGAACAATACATTCATTTGGAAGAGAGAAAGGTGAAAAGTTGGAGGCCATAACTCAACTGGGACTAGTATCAGTGACTTTATAGAGAGGAAGAGCCATAAGAGAGTGAAGCCTATACAACAAGAAACAGCCAACCACTTCTGTGTACTAGCAAATCCCTATGTAAGGATTCTGTATTTTCAACCCTTTGGGGCAAACAGGAAGCAGTCACTGAAAGAGAAGAGTAGGAAAAATGAACTAGTGAGCTCAGATGTCAGTGCATGGCTGCTTCCATCAATTCTGGGCACCCCCAGGAGTCCCTGCTTTGGCGGTCTGAATGAGAATGGCTCTCACCTGCTCCTATGTTTGACTGCTTCATTCCCAGTTGGTGGAACTGTTTGGGAAGGACTGGGAGGGGTGACCTTGTTGGAAGACGTGTGTTACTGGGGATGAACTTTGAGGTTTCAAAAGTCCACATCATTCCCTGTCTCTGTTTCCCTCTGTGGATCAACTCCAGGGATTACTCCAGCGCCATACCTAGCCGTCTGCTGCTAGGTTCTCTGCCACAGTACAGTGGTCATGGGGGTCTAATCTTCTGGAAATGTGAACCCCAAATTAAACTCTTTCTTTTATAAGTTGCCTTGGTCATGGTGTGTTGCCAAGGCAACAGAACAGTAACTAAGACATCTGCACTGCATAATGCTGCTCTTTGGATTCTGACAATGAATGGGCTCCTGCTATGTGCTTCTATAAGGAAGGGCCAAGAATTAATAACTCAGAGAGTTATTAATTAATAACTCAGAGAGTTAATAACTTCGGAGAGAGGCTTTGATCACTTAGACTGAATTTAGACTCCACTCGCCTCTCATTTTTACTCCTCCTAGGCTGAATTTGGGTAAAGAAATTAGCAGAGTGTGCTAGTTTACTACTTTGTACTAAAACATCCTACATTCTTTAAATCTTGCTTTATTACATGCACCACTTTCATGATAATAAAACTAAAAACTGGATTGAATAGAAACAGCATTATCAAAACTCCACAAGACCCAAAGGTAAAAAGAAAAAAAAAAAAAAAAGAAAAAAAAACCAAACAAGTATTTCACCCTAACGTACCACAACTATTAATCTGGTCTTCTGTATTATTTCTTCCCAAGATGAAAACAAGGCTATCTTTGTAATTTCATACTTTTTTTTAAAGATTTATTTCTTTATTATGCATACAGTGTTCAGTCTGCACCCCAGAAGAGGGCACCAGCTCTTATTACAGATGGTTGTGAGCCCCCATGTGGTTGCTGGGAATTGAACTCAGGACCTCAGGAAGAGCAGCCAGTGCTCTTAACCTCTGAGCCATCTCTCCAGCCCCTTTAATACTTTTTAATAGGTGGCATGGGTAGTGTTGGCTTAATGTGAAAGGGTCAAAACCAAAGTAACTCTTGCCATCTATTTGCTTGTCAACACCAAGCGTAATAAACACATTCCCATGGACAGATTTAAAGGCTGACTCTGCTTTTAAGGTTTTTGTGAACATAAACTGATAGAGAACTCAGATGATGCAGACATCCCTCACATCACCCTGACAGGTGTGACAGGGAAAAGGGTGAAATTTAACAGTTGCAGGGATGGATGAAACGGAGCTTGGCTGGCCAACCTTCTCATTTTCAGATGAATAATCAGGTCTAGAGAAGTTACACAATCTTGCTAATGGTGAAAACCCAAATGAAGAGAGTTGGTCTTTTGATTTAATTTACTGTATCAAATACATCAATGTGCTACAATAGCTAGAGCACAATGGAATAAAGAATGGCCAACTATGGAAAGGCAGAGGACACAATTTAAAAACCAAAACAAGTAAACAGGAAGCCACTACGTTAGTGGGATGAGATTCTAGGAGCTCTGTAGCAATGCTTGGTTTAGTATCTGCAACATGGGGAAGGTTCCACTGCTGGCCTCAAGCAAACAGAAGCCTCCTAACACAGTCTACAGAAAACTACAAGCTATGTGTGTTACAAATCATCTTCTAAACAGCATCCTCAATTGCTGGTAAACACAGAATTAACATGTGAGAAGTATGCTAAACAGCTTGTGTTCACAGCATTAATGCCAAAGGCAGTTTAGAAATAAATCAACTTTTAGCATACTGAATTTTGATGTTAAACACAAAGCTAAAAAATCCCTTCTTTCTAAGCAACTGCCATCTGCTAATTTAAATTACAATTTTTGTCTAAGGTAAGTACAAAATTGTTATACACAAGTTAGAAAATTTAAAAAAAAACTGAACCAAGTTAGAAAATAAAAAGGTTTAAGTTTTTCTAGATATTGATGTTAAATCTAAGATAATACATTTAAAAAATTATAAAGAGCAATGGTTGAAGATTTTACAGTACTGGACACATGGAAAACATCAATAAAGAGCAGTAATTTTGCTATCAAGACATGTATTGTCTCCTACTGGGAATCTCAATTGTTAAAACATTTGCTCTATGATTTCAAACAATACAATGTAAAACTCACATTGTAAATGCAGTTTTAATCAAACAGCACACGAGTGAAGCACAAACATGTAATTATATATTAAGTCCATCTCAAATTACAGTAATTAAATGAAATACAAATACATCAATACAAAACAGCTAATAAGCACCAAAATGGTTTAATACATTGCAGAACATCTACAGAGTGGGTAAAATTGATGTTTTCTAGGAATATTTGATAATTTGGGAATTTGAATAGTGTTCTACCTCATTACTAAAAAAATTTAGTGCTTTAAGAGATAAGTAGTGCCCTAGTGAGATAAAATAAAATTTAAGTGTACACTAGTTATAGTGAGGTAAAAATAATTCTATGCAAATACAATACTTCTTGGTGTGAGGTTTTCTAACTAACCTAACTTTATGCAGTATATTTTAAAAGGAGAGTTGGGATATCAAAGAGTCTGGATGGATGCTCTTTTAAGAAATTCTGAATAAAATGTGTCCTTCCCCCAGTTTTGCAAAGTCTCTGAAATGCAGAGCCATGGCTGCACCTGTAACAGTGTTCATGGTAGCGATTAGGCCAGAACCACACGCTTTAATCCCTGTCTTGAGTTAGGAAAGAATTTCAAGAGACTAAAATATAAGGTAAGATCTGAGAGGTGACCAAAACTAGATTTTAGAGGTAAGAGGAGAAACTGGGGGAACAGCATGGCACAAAGCTCAAAGACTAGGAGAGGAATGTCACCTCTGAAGGGGCTACTCGGTGCTGACGCAGCAAGCAGTCCAGGAAGCAATGCAGGCAGAAGAGGGCTGCCGGCTAAGCCAAGCCCTCATGCAGCCAGGCTCTTGACAGACAAGATTCTAGCTCTAATCAAAAAGATCAACTTACTTCTTTGTCTTCTCCGTACACAAAAAGAGCGTATGAAGACAGAGCCCATACTCACACCTGTATTCCCAGTGCCTAGCTTGTCGTTTGACACCTGCTAAGTGACCAAAAACTGTCTACAAATTAAACGTTAGGCCTGTGGTTCTGTCCTTCCTAAATCCCTCAGTAGAGGATGGGTTGGGAAGAGATGGGGCACATGGCCAGAAGACGACTAAAGAAGACTGAGGGCGAACGGGTGAGATGGCCCAAACTAGCACAGAATAAAGTGGCAACAGGCACAGAAACATGCTGTAAAGACGAGGTGACTTGATGGTTACTGGATGACTCAGTGTTACCTGAGGGAGGGTGAAGGTGACATCTTCTGGAGAAGACAGATACTCAACAATACCAGCCATGCTGAAGGATGAGTCCACCTCCACTCAGCGAGGCGGTGGGCATATCACAACTAATCCTGCTAACTTACAGGTGCAGATGCACAGTATGAGGCAGTAGGTAAGCCTACCTGACTACACTGAAATAGAACCTGAGCTGGAACTGATGCTCCCAATCCCTGCCGGGCACTAGAACCCTCCAAGAGAATAAGAGGGAAGGCAGACGGGGGAGGCACGAGAAAGGGAACAGGAAGGAAGAGGGGAAGGAGAGGAAGGAGCAGGCACAGATGGGGGCAGACACACAAATAAATAAATAAATAAATAAATAAACAAACAAACAAACAAATGGAAAAATATCATTTCAGTTTCAACCTGATATAGGTGAATTATTCTGGTATGTTCTTCAATTCCAAGCATAACTCTGTAAGAGTTTTAGGTGGGAGCATTTCCCAGCTAGTTCAAACCATGCTCAATTCTGCCAGAAAAGTTCTCAAACTAACACTTGTACAGTTTGGTGCTATTTGAGCAATGTAACTCTTAGGATTATTGTAAAATTAGCCACTTGGAAATGTATCCTTAAACAAGACTGTATCTTCAAAAGAAATAAAATCTAGACCCAGAAATTCAGTTCTGAAGATTCCCTCTGCAGAGAGGCTTCCAAACTACTTTATCTAAATGACACTCATGCTACTCATTAGCACAGCCTCTACCTCCCTTCTCTTCTCAGAGTGCAGAGGCAGGTCACTCTTCACTGGAGCATGAACCTTTTGAGTTAGCTCAATCCCCAGAGTTCACATGCCGATCCTTAGCCAAAAACAATCCTTGGTAAATAGAAGACAATGGACTGTTTGAGGAGAGAGGGTCTAAAACCCTTAAACGCCACTAAGCAATCAATACATACTATTAAGTTAATGAATGCATTTGTTTGCTTTGTGTAGTTAATTCCCAATTAAAACCAATTAAAAATTGAACAATACACAGCAGAACTGTAATTATGATTTTGGATAACAAAGTTATGAATAACTACAAAATTGTTACTAATTTAAATGCTTTCAAATTATAACCATTAAATTTATTACAGTAAAAAAATTTTTTAAGTAGCTTTCTTCCACTAATTACTCTTTGACACGTTTTTCTTTTAGTCTTGAGAAGTGGTTCCATACGGTAAAAAGAAAATCTTTTTCCTCAAACTCTTACATGTCAGATCTATTGTCACATAGTTGCATTATGCCCAACGTATTATTTAACCATATGAGAATAATACCACCAATAAAAGATCATCTGGTATATAGTAGGTCTATACAAACAACAGCTCCTGGGACTGGGGATGAAGCCTAGTGCACAAGCCCTGGAATCATTAATAGTACGGCACCGTAAAACTAAGAAATGACAACATCAAAAACCATGTGAGTTATTGTTCATCAAAATACTATTTACTAGCTAGGCTACAAACACTTTGAGAGACATATGTCCTCTCATACCCTGAGACAATATACTGCAGCTTTGAATGTACTATCCTATCAGTTACCACCCTTGAAGCTGGACAGGGAGAGCAGAGTCTGTCCCCCACCCACCCCAGGGGACGCCAGGGAAATCTAGAGTAACTCCTGTAAGTCAGAGGTAATGCAAAGTGAAATCCTGTGTCTCCATACTATCCTACTGCAGGGACAGAAAGGGAGTGAGGAAGCAGGGTGGACGTCTAAGACAGGTGAGTAATAGCACCAGCCTCCCACTCTGGACCAGCCCCTAAAGGAAACATAAGCGGAGGCCGCTATTTCAGATATCACCAAATGACTTCCTGTCTCAGTAAACTTTGACTCAGGAAACTGATCATAGCTTTTGTATTACATTGTTTAAAAAAATCCCAGCATTTGGGAGGCAGAGGTAGGCAGATCTGAGTTCCAGGCCAGCCTGGCCTACAGAGTGAGTTCCAGGACAGCCAGGTTTACATTGAAAAAACCTGTGTTGAAAAACCAAAAAATAAAAAAATAAAGAAAAAGTGCAGCTCACTTTAGGGCCAAGAAATTCACTGTGATGATGTCTTTTTTCTTAAAATTTTGTGTTTTTTTTTTTCTTTTTCCTGTTATGTTCCTATCCCCAATCTTTTATAACACATGCTATCTGCCTACTAGTATTTTTATTGCAAAGGCTCAAATGTATCTTTTAAGTCTACTTTCATCTGGAACCTCCATGCCCTGCTCCTCCTGCTCACTGGGCCACATCTTGGGAATCCCTTTTGTTTTCCTACATTGGATTTTCTTTTTTTCTTAGCTTCTGTGTTTTCTCTTTTGCTACTTTTACTGTTTGGTTATTACATTTAGTAAAGTATCTTCCTTAACAAAAAGTACATTAAAAGGTTTTTTTTTTGTTGTTGTTGTTTTGTTTTGTTTCGCTTTTTGAGACAGGGTTTCTCTGTGTAGCTTTGGAGCCTATCCTGGCACTCACTCTGCAGACCAGGCTGGCCTCAAACTCACAGAGATCCGCCTGCCTCTGCCTCCTGAGTGCTGGGATTAAAGATGTGCGCCACCAACGCCCGGCGGCTATAGTTTTCATATCTTGAGACAAGAGTCATTTCCAAACCCCTTTCCCTCACACCCTCAACACCTGCTCCCAGACTCTCCAGTGAAGCCTGACTTCACGGTTCTAGCCAATAAAATCTACAAAGCATCACACCTGCAGCTGTCAGGACAAATCTGCATTCTCCTGCTGTCCCGCCCCACAAGCAAAGGAGTGATGTTTGAAGTGAATCAAGTAACTTATCTCCAGGTAACTAACACCTTTTATTAAAGACAGAACAGCAGAAGAGCCAACTTGGGGCCTTGGAGACACCCCTGAATCACTCCATCAGTCCCAAATGGTCTACTCTGGATTTCTTGATCTCAGATGATTCTGTAACTATTCAAACTGCTGTCTGACGGGACAGTTCTAAAAGGTAAACACAGATTTACCTGCAGATCTAAAACTACTGCTTCTCTCTTAATTTCTCACTATTTTGGATAAGAAGAAAATCCCCGTTTAATTATTTCCCAGGGTTTTCAGAAGCTCCTCTGGTTTGCTGAAGTATCTAATGCCTTTGAGACTTTCTATGTCATGCTGAGTCCTGCATCTCTGAGTGCAACTCATTAAGAAGTCCTCTTTCTGCCAGAATTATGAAATCTCACTATAATGCACAATGATCTGCCTTAACAGCAAGAGAACTTGCTGTTGGTTTTCTGATGATTCAGCCAGTTATTTTTTGTAGAGGGCCATTTATAACCTGAAGATCAATGTTCTGAGCTTGAGGAAATTTTTAAGTACTTCTGCTTCCTCCATTTACTTCATTCTCTACCTTCTGGAAAAAACTCCAGGGATGTCGGCAGTCGACCTGCACTGAACACTGACTAGGCTGAAGACCAGCAATTTACTGGTGGTCATGAAGAAGAGACCACAGAAAATACACCTCTAGCCTGCACTCCAGAGGGAAGGTGTGAGTGCACGTCCTGAGAGTCACATGACTCCATAGTTGTTGTTGTTTTTTCTTTATCTTTTATTTAAAGAAAAAAGTTTTATTCTTTTGAAATTTTGATTTATTACAAGTGTGTGTGTGGGGGGGGTAGATAGGCTGTGTGTAGCACAGTTCGTCTGCAGGGTCAGTCTCCTTCCCCCATGAGATCCAGGGATGGAACTCAAGCCACCTGGTTTACACCCACTGAGCCATCTTACCAGCTCAGCTTTTCTTCTTTACATAAATAAAAGAAGAGGCTTACTAAACATAGTGCGTATAAATGATACCTGTAACATATGTATTTGTAGCTGTATGGGGGTGAGGGATGTACATTCATATAAGTGCCTGTGGAGGCCAGAGGTCAACATCTGGTGTTTTCTTTTATTGTTCTCTACCTTAGTATTTTTTTTTTTTTTTGAGACACAGTCCCACTTATTTAACTAGATTAGCCAACCAGCAAGCGCCAATGCTTGTCTTATTTCTCAGCACTGGGGTTACAGACACATACAATCATGCCTGGCTTTTAAATGGGTGCTGGGGATCTGAACTTGGGTCCTCATGCTTATGTAGCAGCACTTTACTGACAGAGAGAGCTACCTTCACAGCCCTAACACAATTATTTAAAAATTCATTTTGTAAAAGCCCCATTGATAAAAGGATATTTTTTATATATGGCAGCTAAAATAAAAAGCAAGCTGATCTAATTTCTATTCCTGGTGCCAAAATGGGCCTTCATCAAATCTACTCTTCTGGATATAGTATTCACAGGTAAAGCAATTACTGTGTTGGTTCACTGGAAGTTATCAAAATAAGACTTTTAAAAATAGTAAGTACAGTGTATTGCTAGCCACATCAGGGCAGTGTGCATGGACTTTTAGTACCAGGAGATGTGCTTGCCAGCTTGCAGGTAAATCTGACATGAAGACTCCCTTGGAACAGACTGACACCATATGCTGGTGTTTCACCTATAGCTCACTACAGTCAGAACAATAAGTAGACAGCATCAGCAAATGCAGAGTACTTTTTAGGATGCCACAGACACACACGTTTACTTCGGAAACTCATATTAATCTCTGCTTAAAAAAAGTAACAGAGCCAGGCAGTGGTGGCACACACCTTTAATCCCAACACTTGGGAGGCAGAGGCGGGTGAATCTATGTGAGTTCAAGGCCAGCCTAGTATACAAAGCTACACAGAGAAACTTTGTCTTGAAAAATCAAAAAAGAAAAAAGAAATAACAGTAAATCACATATTTTCGAACAGATGGAATTCGAGAGTTTTATTCCTCTTATTCAGAAGCATTTTAATTAAAAAAAAGTAGAGAAAGTGTGAAGGATGGTTAGAGAGAGAAGAAAATGGACATAGTTTTCTATAAAAAGTAGTGACAGCATGAGAAATATTCTTACCCATTCCAGAGTCTTTCTTGGTGCCGTCTGAAATTATGTCTACATGATCAGAGTCCACATCGTAACTAAAGAAATCATTCAAATAGGTCTTAGATCTCTGGCCACCAAACACATATAAGCAACGATTTTTCTAAAAACGAAGGAGAAAAGGAAGAGAGTTGTCATTTCCAATGAAGAATTCAGGATGATCTTTCAAACTTTACATCTCTATAGCAGCAGCTTCATGAGAGATCCCATACAACACTCCTTTGCTAGAATGAAGAGGAAGAGAGAAAGGCAGCTCTCTCCACACTACCAAAAGCATTGCTGAGGCATGGCACACTACCTACTAAAGCCAAATAGCAAAGTTATTGTCTTTTGTATGACTACAAGGGAGCATAAGTGAGCATGAGTGGGCAAGCAAGAAATGTGTTTGGATAAATGAAGACACAATGAAGTACAGCCACCCATAAGAAACGTAACTCCTTCTTATACCTAAAATAATAAACAGAGTTATCTAAAAGTACCTTGACTTAGTTTATAACCACATGCATGCTTTTATTAGAATGTTAAATTTAAAAACAGAAACAAAAATGAAAAAAATCTATATATAAAGCTACAACTTTATGTACACACAGAATTCTAACCACACTCAGAAGTATTATACTTATTTTTAATTCAGTTTTTTTTTAATAATGCATTCTTATGGCCTAAGTCTTAAATTAAAAATTCACCAGAAAGCAATTTTAATTTTGGAAACACTAGTGATTTTGTTGCTAGCTTTGACAACTGGAAAATTTTCACAGATGAAACAAGTAATACAACATGAAATAAGATTTTTAACCTTAAAAGATATACAAGTACAAAAATCAAAGTCACTAAGTAAAAGGGAAAAAAATAATTTGAATTGGTTTATCAGTGAGAACTCACGACTTGTCCTTTGTTTTATCAAAAGATAAATGTGTATATATGGATAAAGGGGAGGCTCCTACTGGTCAAAGATAGATTAAAAAAACAAAAACAAAAAAAAACCCGAAAAACTGACAGCACTGAATTTAAAATATCATGCATATAAAAATTCATGAGCTCATAATTACAATGTTTTTTTCTACCTCACTGGTTAACTTTGGAAACTGAATTCATTAACATGCAAATAAACAAATCATACATCCATTAATTCACTTAGATTTATTTATTTGAGACAAAGTCTTACTACATAGCTCTGACTGACTCGGAACTCACTATGTAGACCAGGGTGGCCTCAAAAACAAAGAGATTCCCACTGTCTCTGTTTATATTAAAGGCATGCACTACCACACCCAGTGGTTTAGTTCTTTTTCTTTTTTTAAGATAGGGTTTTTCTATGTGTTCCTGGCTGGCCTCGAACTTGCTGTGTGCAGCCCAGGTTGACCTCAAACTCATGGTCTGCCTGCCTTAGTCACCAAAGTGCTGGGATCACAGGTGTGCATCACCAGGCCTGGCCCAAGAATTAGATGGTTTCATTTTAGAGTAACCAAACAACTCATGATATAAAGATGTTTTGTTGTTCTTTTTAAAAAACAAAAAAACAAAAGTAGAATTACACTTAATAATGCAGAAGAAACAACATCAGAAAAATCACTATTTTGTGATAGCTAATGAAATCTAGACAATGAATACCCAATGAATATCAATAGGTAAAGATTATAGGAAATTTCATAATTGATCAACCAAACTAATAATTCCTAAACTCACTAACATTTATCAAAAACATAAACAACAACATTAAATGCCTCTTGATATCCTATGATCAGAATACTGGTGAAGTGTTGTTGTGTTTCTTCCTGGCCTCCCTGTGAAAGGACAGCAACTATAAATCAAGCCTTCAGGTAGAAATGACTAGTTTATAGAAAATACGACAGAGAAACACATTAAATAATGCAATGAAGATACAATCAGTCAAGTGAGAATGGGAAACATTGTAGATTACAATAATTCTGATTTTTAAAAACCAGAGTGAGTAGAATGTACACGGAGAAAAGAAGGACATTCTGCGGCAGTACCCAGGTAGGTGTATTTGGGATCCCAACCTGAACAAACCAGTTCTGGAAAGCTGTTATTCAGGCCATCAGAACAGCATAAGTGCAGACCAGGCATTCTATAATATTACAAACTGCTTTCATTGTGACGGATATGATAATGGTAATACCATTTTTTAAGAGTGCTATCATTGTAGGTGCAATTGTCCCTCAGTATCAGTACAGGTGACCCCCAAATCCCTTAGGATTTGCAAATAACATATACATATCCTCTTATGTACTTTAAATCATCTGTACATTATTTTTAATATCTAGTATAAACTGTAGGACACGAGAGCAGTTGTTTAGCAAATAAAGTTTTTTTAAAAGTCTATACATGTTCAGTAGAGATAAAAAAAATTTTAATAGTATTTTTAATCCATGATTGTTTAAATCTGTGGATGCATAGTCCACAGATATGAAGGACCTGCTAAATAAAGACATCCTAACTGAGGTCTTCCTGAAAAATATTCCCAACATAATAAAATGTAAAAAGCTCTAAAAGTGACAGGAATGTAATTAAAGTAGGAGAGATACACTAAAAACAGACAGATTGTTTACTGATCAAACTGAAAGACATATGTTCTCAGAAATTCACTATTATCTCCTTCTTTGCACTTCATATAAAGAATATTTTTAAAATATGCATGTTGAATAACATATGGTCTAATACTTTGTTCACACAAAGAAGGATTACCTGCTTCAAAAGGAGAACTCTTTTTGTTGTTTTTGTTAGTAAACTCTTGTTCTAATTCTATAAAACCAATCTGTACTTAATTGAGAGTAGCATCAGGAAAAATAATTCAAAATTATCCATCTAACTACTAAGAAATGTTCACTAATGGTTAAGTCCTAAAAAAGAGCTAATTATACGACAGCTAGGTAACCAGTAAAGTCAGTAATAAAAGCACCTACCTCTATCTTCAGGTAATAATCACTTAGGAGTTAGTTTCTAACTTGATGGAAATGACTAAATGGCAGTTCTATTTTCTCTTTCACTGCTGTATTAATCATTTATTTCTAGCGAAAGCTTTGCTTTTTTACTAATCTCTCCTATAAAGATACACATGACAAAATAACACAATGTACAGAATATTCTTACTGAGTGGAACAGCATGCAGTGTCCAATTCGAGACTGGATGTCCTCAGGGCCAGCATTACAGGAGTCTTCTCGAAGAAGCTTCCAGGTTTGACACTGGCAGTTGAATGCAAACAAGCCACTGAATTGTGGTTCACTGGCTCTGCTGTCATCTACACTGCCATTACATGTCAAAATTCTACCACCGAAGGTGTAGATCATATGTTTTTCTGAATCCATACACATCTACGAGAACAAGGCAACAGATTGAACAGTTTTAGTTTGTTCCTTCGGATGTGCCAAAATGGGATCAGTATGTATGGTTTCACATTCTCAAAGAAACCCTGAACTTTGCTCTTAATGATGCTAAGTACATCTCTTAATTATTATACACACATATTGTAATACTGTTCAGAAATTCAGGATAGCTTTCTAAACACCTTTTCAATTTTCATTTACTCCAATTAAAATGAATATACTGAGTTAAGGAACTTTGCTTTCTTGATGCCATGCTACAAGATTTAACCAGAGCCAGCAATGAGTCATGGCATATTGGGTCTTACTAACCCTGCATACCGATCACAACTCTATGGGTGAACTGTGATCATATGCTCCTCTCCATCCTTTTAACAAGAGGGCAGATTCCCAACCGGCAAACCAGAGTGATTCAGCTCAATGAAACTCTACATTTATTTTACAAAACTCTTCAAATTATGTTCTAAATTAAACCAACAAGCCAGGAAGTGGTGCTGTACACCTTGAATCCCAGCACTCAGGAGGCAAATGCAGGTAGATCTCAGAGTTCTAGTCTAACCTGGTCTACAGAGTGAGTTCCAGGACAGCCAGGGCTACATAGGGAAACCCTGTCTTTAAACAAACAAACCACCAAACAAAAGGCCATTTGCAAACATGTCTACACACTGACTTCCATAGTGTGAAGAACTGTGTTTTTTTACATTATAAATTTAATTTTCAATTAATTAAGCTATGCAATTCATGTCTACCCTGATTTTGTTTTTTGAGATACGGTTTCCCTGTGTAGCTTTGGAAACTGTCCTGGAACTAGCTCTTGTAGACCAGGCTGGTCTTGAACTCATAGAGATCCACTTGCCTCTGCCCCCCAAGTGCTGAGATTAAAGGTGTGCCCCACTACTGCCCAGCTCCCCACCTTAAGCTTTACGCTCTTTAAAATAAAAATATAGCCTTCCATAAAAGAACGCATGAGGAAACAGCTGTTTGTCACAAGATAGTATCAAAATCTATCTCAAAGTCAAGCTGGAGTTCAGATACCAAAGCCAGTGGCACTTGTGATTGAAAAATCTATTAGGTACACATAACAGCTGTACTTTCAGGGAAGCACAGCACTAGCTGTTACAAGCTTGAGTCTCTTCTTCCAGCAAACTGCTTTTGTCATATAATTACTCTTTCATTTTTAGCACAAAGTTATTATGGTAGTTTTAAAGGCCAAGTAAAAACATAAAGCACTGCAAAAGAGGGAAAGATTCTAGCAGAGAGTGAGAAGGGGGGGGGATGAATTTGAGACAGGGTCTCTCTACATAGACCCAGTGTTGCTCCTTCCCTTTGTCAGTTTTTTGGCGAGGCATTCTTAACTGTCATCAGGGCTACATATCCACACCTTTGTTTTGCTAATTCATAAAGGACAGGAGGAGCACAGTATCAGCATGGAGACTCTTCTCCACACTTCCAGCATAAGGATACGAAACAGGGACAACTTTATTTATAAACTATATACTCCTGCACTAAGATGCATAGTCTTTTTGTTTGTTTCTCGAATCAGGATTTCTCTGGCTGTCCAGGAACTTGCTCTGTAGACCTCACTGGCCTTGAACTCAGAGATCTGCCTGTGTCTGCCTCCCAAGTGCTGGGAATAAAGGCGTGTGACACCACTGCTTGGCCTATTTTTTTTTTTTTTTAATGAGGGTCAATTATCAACAAATTTTAAACCACTCTAGGCATCTTAATGCTATTTTAACCCAGTCTAACGTTTGTTCTTCCTTTTTTATTTAGTTTTTTTCCTATGTTTTTTAGTATTTTTTCTATTTTAAATCATGTATATGTGTGCCTATGTCTATGCATGGACATGTGCACATGTATGCAAGGTGCCCTTGCAGCTCAAAAGAAGGTATAACTCCCTGGAGCTGGAGTTGCAGGTAGTTCTGGAACACTGGACATAGGGGCTGGAAACTGAACTTGGGTCCTATGCAAGGGTAGCACACGCTCTTAATTGCCCAGCCATCTCCAGGCCCTGTTTTGTAGTTTTTAATCTCCGAAAAATGATTATAAAAACTTATGATAAATTGTGATATTTTTATAAAAATTTGCAAATCAAAATTTGAAAGACTAGTGAGTGTGGTGGCACATGCCTTTAATCTCAGCATTCAGGAGGCTAAGGCAAATCTCTGTGAGTTTCAGGCTAGCCTGCTCTACATAGTGAGTTTCAGGACAGCTAGGGATACAAAATGAGAACCTGCCTCAAAACAGCAACAACAACAACAACAAAAACCTAACTGAATTTAAAAGTTGGAAAACTATCTACTCAGGTTGCATAATTTGTAAAACCCAATTGAGCAGTAGATAGCCCAATTTTCTTTTTCTACATTTAATTCATTTTCTAATTTTTATAAATTATCAGAGTTAACTGATACTTCATCAGACTAGAGGATGCCCTCCTATTTAGTCCCTAACATTTTCTAGGGGCATAAAGACTTCTTCTGGACATCTCAGCCTTTGCTGCACTATTAAGCAGAACCCCGATTTCTTCTGGAGGGAGGTGATGTGCCTTCAGAAATGCTCCCACAAACTGCTCTTGTTATCCAGCACCATTTCTAATGTGTTCTCCCTGCAGATGTTGGCAAGGAGATCAATCAAAGTATTTGTCTGCCCTGTCAATTACTTGGTCCAGAAAGGAGGCCAAGAGACAGAGATCTTCAGTTTTTTTGTTTTGCTTTTCAAGACAGGGTTTCTCTGCTTAGCCCTGGCTGTCCTCAAACTCAAGAGATCCACCTGCCTCTGCCTCCAGAGTGCTGGGACTAAAGGTGTGCTCCACCACTCTAGTAATTTCTTAAAGTGTTTATATTTAAAGGGCAGTTTGGTCAGATCTTTAATACTTGGTTCACACTATCTTTTCTTGAACACCTTTTTAGATGCTGCTCTTTTGTCTCTTTGCATTTGCTACAGTCCACATAGGGGTAGTGTCTCCCAGAGGTCAACATGCTAACAGTTTGGCACCATGGTGGCACCACTGACAGAGGCTGTGGAATTTCAGAGGTGTGGCCTTTGGAAGATCACTAGACTATTCACAAAGAGGACTGAGAGACTCCGATCTGCCCCTTCTCTTCTGTGTACCTGTTCACATAAGCAGTCTGGCTCTGCCACATGACTGTCATAATGTGTGCCCTTACCAGAATCTCAGAGCAAGGATGCCACCTGATCTTGGACTGAATCCTGCACAACCATGAGCCAAAATGTGTCTTTTCTCTTTATAAGTTAAATGCCTCAGGTATTTCACCATAGCTACAGAAAGCCAAAACAACACTGAGAGTAGATATACAACCAGTCTCAGTTCTGGTGGCTTCATAATTTTGTCTAGTGACTAAAAGTAGTGTGTTTTAAATTTAATGTTATTAATATTCTTTAGAGGTAGCTGGCTGGATCTCATTTGCCTGTCTTCTCTGTACTTCGTTCACAAACACTTTTTATTTCTGTTTTGTTTTACACTGATACCTATTCTTATTTATGCATATAGATTATCTCCATTTCTGAAAATGATAATATGTTCTATATTATTATTTTTACACTGTGAGAAGGAGGCATGTGTGTGCCACAGTGGTCAGGGGAAAACTCTGTAGAGTGGGTTCTCTTATTCATCTTTATAAAGGGTCCAGGGATTCAGCTCAGGCTGACAAGCTTGAGCCACAAGCTCTTTTACCCACTGAGCCACTTCATCAGCCCCCGTGTCTTTGCTGTATTTAGGTTCTTTCATCTGCTCTCACCATTTGGTTATCACAACTGCATTTTTCAAATTTATACTTTGTAGTTATCTTCAGTTTCAAGCTTCATTGTGTTGTTAAGCTGTTAGAAGGCTGAAATAGAATTCTTACCTACTTTTGTATGAAGGAAAGTATTTTTTTCCTTCTATTATGTTCTTTAAAGTATTTCTTAAAGATCTGGTGCCTGTTACTGTTTATAATTTTTCACATTTCCTTGGCCCCAACAGCTTTCAGAGAGTGCCTATGGAAGAGGGACGGACAGTAGTGTTTAAGGACCCTGGTGCTACAGAATAGAGGTGTGCTTCTGTGAAGCCATGTCTTGTCTAACTCTACAATCTCAACTGGTTTAGAAATGGTCCATCTCAAGGTGTCTTGTGAAAATTACAGTTGTCTATTTTGACTCTGTATGTGCATGTTTATATACCTGTGTGTGGGCACGCATGTGACAGTGTGCTTACAGAGAATGACTTGTAGGAATCAGTTCTTTCCTTTTATCCTGTGGATGCTGGAGACCAAACTTGGCAATAAGCACCTTTACCCGATAAGCCATCTCACTGATTGGTTCTCAACATCTGAATTTCCCTAGCTCACTGGCTATTGCATAAAAAGCCTGTGTCCCCACCTGTCAAAGGGTTTCTTTTTTAGACCGCACTGCTTTCTTAAACCCACTGGGCTTTCTGACACTTGCTGTTCTGTTTTGCCACTGAGAGGAGTCTGCTGTTCCCCTGCATTCAAGCTCTCTCTCTCTGGCTTTAGCACATGTACCAGGCTTTTTGTTGTTTTTGATTAAACTTACAAGTAACTGTGAGCTTTCTCTTGCCCAAATTTTGGGGTATGTGATTTACATATGGTTTTTAGCAACTTTGCTGTTCTTGAAATGTAGGCAAAGCAATGGCATGGAAAGTTTGAGAGCTTAGCTGAGCTAAGCTGCCATATGTTCACCATAAATACAAGTCTTCAAATTCCAATTTTTTTAATGCTAAAATTCAAAATGGAAAAATAATTTTTAAACGTGTTTATATTTTTCCCTTGTTCTTCTTAATTTTGAACACAAAGTACTAAACCCTAAAACATCATGGCACTATAAATAATGTTTGGAGTGTCATGAGCACAAGTTAATAAGATCTAACTTACAGCTTTATTTGCATGTAATCAAATGTACACTGGAGGCTTAGACAGATGCTGCTTGCTCCGTAGCACAGAGCATAATTGTTCAGCTGAATTAGGACCAAATACTGTTTCTTCCCCTCCATGGTTCTTTTATGCCATGTGATCAGCTGAAAACTTAGCATTTATTTAATAGTAGCCAACTTCCAAGGGGCACCCTGTTTCATCAAAGTCAAGACAAACAAATGGCCATATACATTTGTGTGCCACAGCTAGACTATCCCTCAACTACCTTATTGTCAACCCATACAAGTAATTTTTGCAAAATTCAGTATTTTTTGGTAAAATATTAACAACTTCTAATTAAAAGGCTAAATTGTTCCCTAACAATGTCACCCACTGACAGTCTGTCCTTAGATGAGCAGAGTCAGCTTAACTCCTTGACTTCTTTTTCCCAGAAGAACAACAGTGAGGCTGCCAGAAAAGATGAGCATGGCTTTGGAAACAAACTCAGCAACCAGAGGACCTGACATCTTTATTTTTCACCTACAGTGCTTGATGTAGTTCTTCTGCTCCATCCTTTTATACCAGCTATGCACGGATGAAAACATGCAAATAGGATAACTACAAAGCAAGGCAAAACAACCTATAGAGAAGCAATCAATAAAGGCCTGGGATTTGGCTACCTCCTATTTCCCCAGTAGCAGACAACACAGTAAAACATATCTCTTCCACGCGCTGAGAGCTGCTGTAAACAGGTTAAGTAAAACTGCCTATTTGAACAATTCAATGCAGTTACTGTTTTGTTTTGGTTTTTTTTCTCCCTATGATTGGGATGATGAGGAGAGGCACAGCCAGAGTAATTAAAGTGGTTTCCATATCACTCACTGTTCACAACTGTCTTGTCCACAGATGTATATGGCCAAGATATGTCCATTATACGCTGAGTTTAAACTTAATCTAGAATGTGCCAGATTTCTACAGAGCTTTGTAAGAAGTTTCTAATTACAAACAAAACAAAGCATATTTTAGTCTAACTGGAAAGGAAGCTCTGGATTTTAAACTCATTAGCAAATTATTTTAAATTTTTTCCAGGAAAGCATAATAAAAAATATTAACAGC